CCCCCCCCATATATCCCTTTTAGAAGCATGTTTCATTGTAGATTTGGTTTGAAGATATTGTTCTAAATATGTGGGATATTATCTTCTAGGGTGTTGGAATGGAGTGATGGGTACTATAATGGGGATATCAAGACTAGGAAGACAGTTCAGGTGGGGGAAGTTAATGAAGACCAACTTGGGTTGCACAGAACTGAGCAATTGCGAGAACTTTATAGTTCACTCTTAACAGGTGAAGGTGAAGAAGACTTACAACCTCAGGCTAAAAGGCCCTCAGCTGCATTATCTCCTGAAGATCTCACTGATACGGAGTGGTATTTCTTAGTATGCATGTCTTTCGTCTTCAATGTTGGACAAGGGTAAATTTCCTGACATTCCAAATCTTGTGCAACCAATATTTGTTTTCTGATGTATTGATCAGAACTTATAATTTAGCTGCAATAAACAAGGATAACACAAAGTTCATAACCTCAATTAATGAAGAATAACAATCTTTCTTGTTGTCTCCTGAAATAATTTGCTTACTTGATCTTCAAGTTGAGTGTTGCTCTCTTTTGGGTTTAAAGTTTACTAACAATGCTCACTTTAGCTTGTTCTAAAAGTAGATAGGAAAGTAAATGGTCAATATCTTTCTTCTTCTTAAAACAGCAGGGCAGAACTCAGTCATTGTAGTTTCTATTTTAATTGCTGTAAAATAATTACACAGGTTGCCAGGGAAGACCTCAGCGACGAATCAAACAATCTGGCTATGCAATGCTCACCAAGCAGAGAGTAGAGTATTTTCTCGCTCTCTGCTAGCAAAGGCAAGTATAGTTTATATATCAGCGTTAACTGCACTGCCAGTCTAAGACGATATCCTTAAGGGTGTGCATTTCCTCGATTCTGGGTTTTTTTAGTGTTTTGTTTGTTTCTTGGTTTGTAGATTGGCAAACTAATCACTGAATTGGAATAGGTCCTTTTGGATCATTTTGGTTTGTGTCTTTAAACTTAGAAAAGAAAACGAACCTCAAAAACTTAGAACTTGATAAATGAAAACTGAAACCAGCCGAAATACCCAAAAAATCTAACCAAAAGATCTGATAATTCTGTTTGGTCAGTTGTTTTAGTTAAACCCAGATAATGCACACCCTTAGATATCAATTCAACTGAAAAATCTGAATCTCTTTCTTTTTGGTTTTTCCATGTTACTAATCAAATCCTCTTCGTCTCATCAGAGTGCATCTATCCAGGTATTAATTCTCTCCCTCCCTCCCTCCCTCCCTCTCTCTCTCTCTCTCTCTC